CTCGATTTTCTTAATGGTAGTGAATCTCAGGTACATAACATGCTTTCCATTTTATTTTATTTATTTTTATATAGATTATTAGGTACAATTTTTTAAAATATGCATCTTATAATTTATATTATTTTTATTGTGGAGTGATCTTCATTCATCTTTGAGAGCATGCTATGATTTAGCTCCTACTTCCATGCCTTCACCAGAAGAAAAGAAAGTTAAAGAGGAACTAAAGATTTGAAGTCAAAATTAAATGATCAAGAAAGACCAAAGATTTGAAGCATGTTATGATTTTGTATGGATGCTTCTTTTTGTTGCTACAATTTTTTTTAGTGGACATGTTATATGATGAATGTACATGGTGGAAATACTTTTCCAGCTTTTGTTTTTAATTTGACTCTTAGAAGAATCACATTTAGAATCTTGAATGAAGCTTCAGCATTTGACAAATTATAATAACCTTAATTCATAATTTGAAATAGATTTTTGATCATCATTAATTTGGTGAGTGTCACTGCATAAATTTCTTTAAGTTTTAGGATTGTTTAACCATAAATGTTGAACTTTTTTCAATGTTAAAATATAAATTTTTGCAATTTTTCTGCAATGCTAAACTTTTCAATCAACCACAAATAATAAACCAAGTAGCAGCACAAACAAATTAACCACAAAAATAACACCAGAATTACACAACTTCATTACAAAAAGATATATAATCATTTGATCTTGTTTTACATTCGTAAGTTCATAGACACTGCTACTGATTACATGCATTTGTGTACATTTTAAAGATTAAAAAATAATAAATAAAAAATTTGTGTACACTTTCATATAATGCCAAGCAATAATAAAAAAAATACTTGGTTCATATCCTAAAGTGAAGTCTCTGCACCATCATTCTTACTTCATTTATCATCTTTAGCATCTACTAGACCAACAAATCTGTAAGAAACACTCAAAGTAAAATGTCAAAAAATTGCATCTTGCATCCGCCCATGTCAAGTACAATCTATCAAGACTTTCTGCAAAATCCAATATTTGAACTAGTGCTCGTCACCCGCATTTTTCATTGTCTATTCCGAAACTTTAAGGCACCGACATTGCTTGATCTTATGCTATAAGATGGAATTTTTTCCTGTTATTAAAAAAAATAAAAAATAAATAAAAATAAAAATCAGTTGATGTGCCATTTAATAAACAAAGTTACAAAGTTACTATTTCTCAAAGGACTTTCAACAAACACCTTGAAGGTGCCACTTTGAAGGTGCCACTAAATAAACAAAGCTATTATTTTTCAATTGATTTTCAACAAACAACTAGAATGCCTCAAAATAGGAAGAAAAAAAAAAGGGCACAAATCAAACAAAATCCACAAATATTCAACTACAAATGAGAGGTTGAATTGTAAAAATAAAAAATCCTAAGATAAATTCTTACAAAAGGATGGAAATGCGGATGTATAGTCGAAATTAGTAGTTGAGATGTTGATTTTTGTGCTCTGTAAAAAATTAAAAAAAATTGAGAAACTCCTGGTATATTAAGGTAGAGCATCATATATAAAAATAAAAATAAAAATGAGGCAGAGCAGTACAGCTTTCATTAAGATTGGAAAAGAGAGCCCAACACAATAATCTAGTACATTGTTTCAACCTTTATTTTATTTTATTTTTTTCTTTTAAGACTTCTAACAAACATTTAGGCTTGTTTGGTTTATGGATTTGAGTAAAAATTTTAAAAAATGAAATAAAATAAATAGATGAAATATAAATACATTCCATTTATGTTTTACTCACCTATTTATTTTCTTTTCTAAATCTTTATCTAAATTTATGAACCAACCGGGTCATTAGGGATTTGAAATGAAAAATAAAAAGGTGGGACAAATTTTCTTTTTTCAAATCTAACTCAAATCTATGAACCAAACACAATGTTAGAGTATAAATTTCTCAATTAAAAAAAAAAATTCATTGTTCACTCAAAAAATAATAAACCTAAAAAAATATAATTCCTTACAAAAATTAGAAAAAAAAAAACTTTCCAAAAATTTAAAAATAAATTAAAATTTATAATTTGAACAAGTTAGACCGTACAAAAAATTAAATCTCATAAATTAAAAACTTACTTGATCAATCCTCTTCTTTCCACGCACTCTACTTTCTTCGGCAATTTTTTCCTTTCTACGGTGATGACTATTTTGCTTTCATGGATTGGAAGAAGCTGAGGGGTTTTGGCGCTTTTTTTTTTTTTCTTCTTCTTCTTCTTCTTCTTTTCTTTTTTTTTAATGCTTCTTATCTTTCTACCACGTGAGAACAAAATGAGAGTTGTTTTGTGGTGGGTCCCACTAATCTTAGGTCGCACTACAGCTAAGTGTTTGGTCATCTCTTTGGGCCTGTAGTATTACTGAATAAATATATATATATGTTACACAAATATTTATTTATAAAAATGTTAGAGATCCTAAAAATTCTACTAAAAATTTTACCAAATGTCTCACATGGGTGTGGGACCCACATGAGACCACATTGTGTGAGTCCCACACCTATGTGAGATATTTGATAAAACTTTTGAGAGAATATTTAGAATCTCTAGCATTACTCATTTATTTATCTCTCTCGTGTATGTAGAAACCCTTATAGCTTGGTTTGAAAGTACAAGCTAATGTAGGCAAAAACAGAAGCAAATGAGTCATTCTTTCTTGTTGAAAAATCTATGGAGGAATCGTTATTGTATAGGGTCATTTTGGAGTTGTTGGGGGAAATGAGATTTTAGCTCCATTTAAATTAAAATTTATAAAAAAATAAAATAGATCAAAATAGTTAATAAGACAAAATATCACATCAAATTTATAATCATTTAATTTTTTTTTTCACAAACATCATATCTAACTACGAAAAAATTCAATCATCTTTCCAAATATAAAAAATTTAACTTACCAAAATAACCTACTAAAATAATAACTTTCCAAACACCCACTTTGTCTTTCTTGAAATGTGTACCGAAGAACCATTGTTGTATTTGCCTTCATTGTAGAGAAAGTACAATGAAAAAATTAGGGTTCCGTTTTGTAGAACTTTCAAAATATAATTTCACTCACTTTTGAGTGTGGTATTTGTTTAGTATTTTCAAAAAATTAATTCCACACTCACTTTTGAAAACTCTTTTTAAGGCGGCAAAATTTGGGCTAACTGGTCGTTTCATTAGACATCCTACTAGACGTCTTACCGGTTGTCCAACCGGTTGACCAAAACAGTGTTTTTTTTTTTTTTCACCTATTATTTTTATATTACAAAAAATATATATTTGTGAATTTTTTTAAAAAAAAATTTTGAACTTTGAATAGAATTTTAGATTGTACGTCTGGTTATGATTTATAAGTTTTGTATCAAATATCATATTCATATAACTCAATTCAAACTCAATTTAAAACTTTTTTCAAAACTCATAACCAAACAAAATTTTCACACTCAAATCATAATTCTAAAACTCACAAACTCAAAATATAACTATATTCTCAAATCATAATTCTAAAATTCTACCAAACACTATCTAGAAATTCCCCATTAAAGTCACAATGTTTGTTCCAAAAATAAAAAATAAAAAAATAATCTCCCATTCTACAAATAATTTGGAAACGCAAAGTCACTTTCTCAAATTTTTATCAATTTTTTGGATGTTTCGCACTTGTGTATACGCTTGCCCTCGACAAAGTTTCATATGTTAAAAATATTGCTCATTCATAATAGGAATCTAGGATCTATATTGATATTATAAAATCCGTTCTCAGTTTAACTAACGACAAAAAATAATCATATAGATACTCTCAAGAAAAAAAACATAGTAATTATTCACTTGGATAAATTACCCTGGCACACCTCAAATTTGATTCAATTACATCTCACTCTTGACGTTTTAAAAATTACATTTTCACCTATATAGTTAATAATCTCATTCTATAAACTCCTACCTATATAAAAAGCAATAATTTCTAGTAGAAAAGCAAAAGAAAGTACTTTAAAAAAACCAAGGGACAAAAGCAAAAAAAAAAAAAAAATGTGCATAAATTTAATATCTTCATTCAGTCTAAATAATTACAACAACAAGAAAATAAATATAATTTTTCAAACATTAAAAAGTGATATATATTAAATTTAAATCTCAGAGGTAAAAATACAATTTATCCTATTCATTTTTATTAAAATAAGTCATGTTTGTGCAAAGTTTCTGCCACTTGGCCAGAAACCTAAAATTTTAAATGTATTTAAAAGCCATCTACCACAAACCTTTTATGCCCAATCATATACTTGCATTCTCGGTTAGTCATGCAGGCATACTTAGGACATCCCATGCCTACACGTGGCTATAAAATAGTTCTGGCCGCATAAGCTTCTGAATCACCTGAGTTTCCAGCCAAATATTTGGAAAACAATATTTTAAGTTTTATCAAAACCCAGACTTCTAGGTGCAATCCCGTGTTTTGAGAAGTGGATAAAACATTAATTTTTAACTTTTTATCAATTTTTTTAACTTTTTAAAAATAATTTGAAAAGTTAATAACAAGCTGACTTTTAATTTTTTAATTTAATATTTATTTATAATGTTAAATCAAATTAAAATAATCAAAATATTCTTACCCGATATAAAAAATTTAATTTTTTATTTTTTTATCATAGACCCCAATTTATAATTTCACACTTACGTTTTTATAACTTGCCAAACCAATTTTGTTACGTTTTTGCCACTTGCATTTTTGAACCTTTTGACAAAAACGTGACTTTTTTTTTGGTTCCCAAAACGGCAATCCTTAAAATACTCAAAAACTCTAAAAAGGTAAATGTATTGACTCCAACCTCTGCCCAACTCGAACCCCAAGTACAATTAAAAGAAAATTTTCTAGAAAATATGTAACCATTCTGATAACCGATAATTATCACCCATGCTAACCACTAGCCACAGCAATACAGGAGTGAATGAACATACATAATAACTGATTTTTTAAAAAAAAGAACATACACAATAAGAAGGAAAAAAAATTAGGATACGGTAAAAGTGACATGAAATATATATAAGCTCGAGAAAACCAAACAGTATAAACTCCATCCGAACAGTGGCAATCAATTGGCTAAAAGAAGACCTCTAAAATGCAAATCATAGATCATGTCCAGCAATCGAGCCTATATTCAAACACACTTTAATATGACACCGAAAAGAAAAAAGAAAAAATATATAATAACAGCACACAGACAACCCCAGGGTGTAGGGCCTTGTCCCTCTCTTGGACTCAAGGTTCTATCTGCTTCACTGCGAAAGATAAAAGCCAAATATTAAATGAGAAACCAAACATCAGAATGGAACAACAAGGTTCCAACTGCTTCACTATAAAAAAGATAAATTTAATATTAAATGAGAAACCAAAGTATCAGAATGGAACAATAAAGTGTTAAGAAGTGTGGTTTAACCCACCTCTGCATCCTCAGGCCCACCAGCCTTGGTTGAACCCTCAATCTTCCGGGATTCTTCTGATGCAGTAAACGAAGACAAAGATTAAAAACCAATATGCTTCGGATATGGGGATTGGAAGGTAAAAGGCCCATGAGAGAATTTAGGCTTGTTTGCCTCTTTCTTTCTTCTTTCTTATTTTTATTTATTTTTAAATCAACTTGCAAGCAACAGAAACAGAGAATATGAAAATAAACCAAAAATCCAACTTGCTAGTATCATTCACAACAAAATAGATAAACCACCAATGGGCTCAACTTTACATGGTTTCAAAACTAAAATCCATGTCTACCTGATTGAAAGTATACATCATATCTAGACATAGTGTAAATATATTAAGGCAATGCTCAGATCTCCAATTTCAATTCGAACCATTCCGCTGTAATTTCAGAGTTGGAATGATTCCACAAGACAAACTCAAGAATTTGTATAAGTTGGTTTTATTTATTTATTTGTTTATAAACTCTGTTGATATGTGTGTGTAGACTGCTAAATAACCACTGTGGGTGTAAATGAGCTGAGACAAGTTTGGAGGCACTTGAACTCAATTCAATCAAATCTAAACCATGTTCAAGCTCAACTGGAGTTCAAAAACACTTCATCTGAGTCTGCCTCAATAATAGAGATGAGCTAGACATCTCCCCTAGGAGCTCAAGAACAATAATACCAGAATTCTAACAAAAAGAAAAATACAGCTGAATTTTTAAGTTGAAAACAAACCTATCAATTGAACAGTAGTCAACTGATGCATTTTGACAAAGGTTAAAATAATTTGTTTTGCCTCACCTTTTCTCTTATTTTATATATTCACTTGTTCCCTGCTCTTTCTCTCCTACCAAACATAGCATTAATGCAATCACCAAGTAGAAAATCCCTTAGATTATTCACACATGTATTCATATCTTATGTATTCTACATTAAAATTTTCCATTACTATTTTTTGATGACTCAGTAACCAATAGTTGAACCCTTTACCACAGGTTACAGAAACTATGCCCACAACAAAGTACAGGCACACATAGGTATGGATGAGTATATAGTCACCTATTGTTTCCCACCATACTTAACTGTTGTTAAGTAGGAATGCATTGCCCATTCTTATTCACAACAAACATTACAATTATCTCTTAACCATTGAAATCAATCGCTTTCTCACCTTAATGATGGACAGACAACCAAGTGAACATCACATATTATAGCAGGCTTCTACTTCATGACTTTTAAACTTATGCTCCATAAAATATATGATAATGATAATAAACTAGATGCACAAGTATTACAACTGGACAGGACACATTGTAATACACACTAGAAATAAATAAGCACCTTTTAGAAATATTCTTTAAAATGGCCTGTCTCAAAATATTTTATAGAATACATTTTGCAGTAATTGTTGCCAAATGCAATTTCTGCATTGTTTTAATGCATTCTGTTTATGAAAAAGGCTGATAAAAAGAATTTTGTTTTTGAAAAAGAGAGAGGAAGAAGGAAAAAAAAAAAAAAGTAGCCAAAAATGATAGTAAATGAAACCCTGAATATCCATGAGCTATTATATCATAAATGCTATGCACTACAAAATCCAAAGTTAATTTTAAGAATCTACACCATGTGATTTATATAGAGAATGATAAAATAACAGACCACTGATCCAACAAAAAGCTAACCCGAGGCAACAGGAGTTAAGCTGCAAGATGAACTTTTGTGATAATTATTACAATTACCTCCTTCCTCTGGGATGTCGGAAGTCCACAAGGTTAGATTATCCCTGAGGAGCTGCATAATTAAGGTGCTATCTTTGTATGACTCCTCATTCAGAGTATCAAGCTCTGAAATTGCTTCATCAAAAGCTTGCTTTGCAAGGTGACAAGCCCTGAGAAAGGCAGCTCCTAGATCAATTGAGATATAAAAACAGGTTTCTACATTATTCAACTAAATAAAACACCTGCTAACCTTTCAGGTGAACTCATAATCTCATAATAGAAGACCGAGAAATTTAAAGCCAGACCCAACCGGATGGGATGAGTAGGAGGTAACTCGGCCTCTGCTGTAGTCATAGCTTTCTGCAAGCAGATTTAAAAAGAGAACATGAGAGAGAGAGAGAGTGCAACATATTTGTAGCCATATTGTTTAACAAACTAAGTCGGCATCTAAAGTTCCATGAGACATTGTTTTTGTCTGGAACAACCATGGCTACCCAAAAAGGTTGGGCAGAATAGAAGTACACCAAAAAAATAAAAGAAAAAAAGAAAAAAACAAACTGCAGTTTACATCGAGGACCAGACTCCCATTTTCTATAGAAGTCATCTTTCAGCTGTTAAGAAGACCACTACCTGGTTCAAACTTTTCAAGACCTAACTGTAAAAGAGAGTAATGAGGAAAAGCCAATGAGAAAACTATTATGGAGTACGCAATGCAGAAATCATTTGATCAATTACCAATCCTTATATGCCATAGCCATCTTTCAGTTTTTTATCCTTTCAATTTTGTGGTGTATTGATACTCCACAAACCTTATTTTTAAGTAGCCTGCAGTTGTTCTCCTTTCAGCAGAGAATAAATACTGTTTGACTATGAAAGTAGAGGATGCGAAACTATGAAACAGTATTTGTTCTCTTCCCAAAGGAGAACATGTTCAACATAAAAAGTACCTGTGTTACATGGACTCTTCTATTTCTCCCACCGGATATGACATGGGTAAGGGTGAAGGATATGTATCCGACACTCGGATCCTTTAATTTGTTACAATATTTGAGAAGAAGAAACTCGCATTTGTTAGTAAAGCAATATTTTTAGTCTCTCGCATGAATTAGATATAGAAATTTCATATTTTTCCTGAATCCTATTCGATTCAAGTATATTTCTATATAATTTAAAACATTTCATCTTAGAATATTATATATTATGCAATATATTTATGTGTGTGTATATGACACGTCCCTGCACCCATATCCAATTTTGGATACGTATCCCAAGATCCAAAGATTTAAATTTATGAAGGTCTGACGCTTGGATACACACCCACACCCGATACTCGTACCCGAGTCCATGTAACAAAGCAAAGTACTAGTATCCATGGATTTTCTTTTACAATAGTCTATCTATCTATGGTACTTGAAGTACCATACAAAGTACAAGTACCCAATATTGGGTACATGTTCAACATGTTTTTCAAAATACTCATGCTTCGTAGACATGAAAAGAGTAGGTAAGATGAGAAATCTTCTAAAAGAAAATCATTCAAATAAGGGGTTGTTTGGCAATTGGCTATTTTAGCCAAAAGGAAAGGCCAAAAAGCCAAAATGTTTTCAAAATCATAAAAAAATGGTAAAAGACTCCTTCGCTTTCACTCCATTTTTTGCACGATTTCCGTAAAAAGCCAAAAAGTCCTTCCCAACCGTTTTGATTTTTTTCACCTCATATATTTTAGTCAAAAAGTCAAAAAACTACTAAAATAGCCACTTTCCAAATGCGCCCTAAATAAAGAGTAAGAAAGACTCTATCCAGAGATCTTCTCTTTTATATTTTAGCCTATGTGGTAATGGTTAAGAAACCTCAACAAAAAGTCAACTCATTATTAGAAGCAACGACCAAAACTCAGAGCAAACCAAAACTTCAGCCTAAATAAAATACAACCAGCCAGTCTCTGCCTCTGGTATAGAGAGACAACATAACCAGACTGCTTTGTGAAAATACTGGCAATTCCTAATTGGCCAGTGTTGTCAGAAGCAAGTACGCATCCATCAAAGACTCGTCAGTTTCACCATGTTCAAAGAATGCCAAATGCTCATAGCACTTTTCTTCTCTTTAAGAATATGCCACGAAAATAAAAATGCAAAAAGGATCTATTGGAATTCCATCTAAATCATTACTGATAGAAGCCCAAAAAGGAATTGAGAACAAAGGACATTAATCACATGCTAAACAACCTTACAAAATGAGAAACCTTGGCAGGCAAACATTAATACATGGTAGCATGTCACCACACTTCTTAGGCTGAAGGACCAAAAAAGTAGGATAATTATAATTAAAGTAATAACAGTAACAATATAACTAAATTAAAAAAATTACATATAGAAAACTTTACTATGCCTCATTTAAAGAATGTAATGTCCATTTGGATGTCTAGAGGGGAATAAGCTAAATAATATGTTGGCCAATAAGATTTCATAAGAAATAGAAAGTGTAATTTTAAAGGATTATTCCAAGATGAAGAACAGCTTCATTTCAATAGACAGATAATCAAGCTAAAAGAAAGTTCAATGAAACCAGACCTGTTTTTTTTTTTTTTTTTTTTTGGATAAGAACAACTTCATTTCAATAGAAACTTTAAACAGAAAATGTTAAATACAAATGATAATTCAACCGCATATTTGGCAAAGACAGATAATCAAGCTAAAAGAAAGTTCAATGACTTCAAAGTGAACAACTTCATTCACACAATGTCATTGGAAATTACGAAATCAACACAGAAAAAAGAGGCCACAAATCCAAACTTCACATAAAAGTGAATAAATAAATAAATGGAATAAACGAAAGGATCGCATACTTGATAGGCTTTCATCGAAAGATCTGCAACCTCTTTCCTCTCATTACCAGACTTGAATTCGGCAAGATACCGATAATAGTCCCCTTTCCTACACCCATCACAGAAAAAGCTCCAACCTGAATTTCCTCACAAACCCAAAAACAAAAACAAAAACAAAAACAAAAACAAAAAAAAAGACAATAAAAAAATGAGCTTTCACATTTTGTAGTAAAACACAGTGGATTCTCCATTGGAAGATGAAGGAATGAGATGCTCATCGATCACGTTCATGATATCTTTGCAAATGTCGGCGAGCTCCGATTCAACCTTGTGTCTATACTCCTTGATCCTCTTGGCGTTCAGATCGTTCCCTCTTGACTCCTCCTTCTGCTCAATCGAAGATAGAATCCTCCACGATGCTCTCCGAGCCCCGATCACATTCTTGTATCCAACAGAGAGCAAATTTCTTTCCTCAACCGTCAATGCTACGTCCAGATTCGCAACATTCTTCATCGAATCAACCATTTCTGTCAATTTCAAGCAAAATTAAAAATAAAGAAAAAAAAAGAAAAAGAAAAAGAAAAAAAGAAAGTAGCTTTAAACAACTCATATGAAATAAGTTGAGTGGAGTTCAAAACAATTAGTTGCTTTTTGTACATTTTCTCGGTAAACAAACAGAGGAATTAAGTGAGAAAGAAAGAAACCCTAACCATCGTAGCGCTCGGCCTGTTCGGCGAGCTTGGCGATGTAGACGAAGTTATCGCGCTGTTTGGATGAAGCCATGGCCGATCTGAGATATAGTAAAGGGTTTTGGTGGGGTTTCTCCTCTCCCTGGGTTTGACGACAGGAGATTCTCTTTCTATGTTGTCCGATGACGATTTTGGCGGAGGAGAGAGAAAATGGGCATTGCCCTTTGTAATCAGATCTGATTTTAACAGTGTTTTTTTAAAGTAATTTTTTGATTTTTTAATTAAAATACGTAAAAAAATTAATATATTTAAAATAAATTTTTAATTTTTTATAAAAATATGTGAAAAAAATAAAAATAAAAATAAAGATAATTTTTTTTAACATTTTAATATAAATTATTGATTTTTTTTTAATATTTTTTTTTTATTTTTTAATAATTTTTATTTTTTTAATAATTTTTTTATTTTTTAACTTAAAAAAATCACTCACTAAACCATTTTTTAATGGTCTCTATCATTATTGATATGATTTGTATACGGAAGAGGGGTACCTACTGTGCGCTACACCATTTAAAAGAATTAAGAGGAAAATATTTAAAATAAAAAAAGAAAAAAAAGGAATAAGTTATTTTAATTTAAAAATTACTATATATTAACACATTATATTTTTTACTTTTTTTGTATAATTTTTTATAAAGATTTTTAAAAATAATTAAAATAGTCAATTGTCAAATCACCTCTAAAAGTATGTGAAATAAGTAAAGTATCCCCACTAGTTTACTTAAATTTTACTTTAAAATATTATTAAAAAAATTATTTTTTATTTTAAAAATCACTTTTTCATTTATTTTTCCTGTCAAACTCTCTAATTTTTCTTTATTCTATTAAAATAATCTTTTCAATTACTTTTAAATTTAAATATTTTTTTAATAATAAAATAATGAAGGAAAATGTAACAACCCCGACCTACAATTAGCTTATAATTTGTAATTAAAAATGCCTAATAAGTAATTAAGATGAAATTTTATGTTCATTGCATGTATATATGTTATTTGCATTTATATATGTCTGTCGTAGAAATATCTGTTTACGTTTCTGTTCTGTTTGGTGAATCGAAGGCCTTATCGTCATCTGATCACGAAATTAACTTGATTTATATGTTATTTAGAATTTTTAAAACATTATGGTAGGTTCAATTGAAATTCGATTCATAACTAAATAATTAAAATAAAATAATATCAATGGATTAGCCTTAACTCAACTTAATTAACTAATACTAATCAAGTTTATATAAGGCCAAATTGACTCTTGAATATTGCATACACCTTCATTATCGTAATCTTCTTCAACAAAACGTAAGAGAGAGAGAGAGAAGAGGAGACTTGAGATCAAACAAGGGAAATTGAAGAGAAATTGGAAGAATTAGCTTGAAAACTCAAACAATTAGCCATCTAGAGCACAATTGAGAAGCCAAGGTAAGAGTTAAACCCTTTAGTTATGTAATTGAGTTAGCTAATGTTAGAATTCAAGTGAATTGAGAGACAAATCACAAGAATTAAGCTAAAATTTAAGAATTAAGACTCAAACCATGCATGTATGCATAGTTCTCCAAGAAATCTTACATGCATGTCATAGTTTTAGCTTAATTTTGGAAGTTCATCACATTTCACATGTTTTTACCTCATTTCATTATGTTTTGGAAGGTTAAAACTCATATCATTACATGCATGTCATGTTTTCAATATTTCAAGTTTGGTTTTATACAATTGGTATGCTTTTAGACTTTGATTTTGCGAAATGATTTTGAATTCACCATGTTTTACAAGTTTACATGTGTTTCCTCAAGTTTTGGGCCCAAAAATATATGTTTTGTTAGTTTGCATTTAAGCTTTGAACTTGAATCATCAATCTGGAAATTCCAAAATTTGCACCTTTCGCTCGAGCTGTGGAGCCTGCGCTCAAGTAGAGAATGTGAGCTCTTAGTACTTTTCCAGAGTTTGGGGGTTAGCTCAAGCGGTAGAATTTGCACTTGAGCGACCACCCTTATTTTTTACCCTTCGCTAGAGCAACAGAAATTGCTCTCGAGCGTAAAATAAGAGCTTCTAGAAGTTTTACAGACTTTTACAGACCGCTCGAGCAGAGACCCTTTTTACTCAGTCTTGTGCTCGAGCGACCATCGAGCGTCCATCGAGCAGAAAAATCATGCAACCAATACTTTTGCAGACCTTACAAGCCGCTCGAGGGACAGAAGTTGTGCTCAAGCGGTGTTACAACCCAAACCCGCCCCTATAGGTTTAGCATCGTAACTGGCCAGTAATCCTCAGAATACCAAAGGCCTCTGACCTGAATATCATCAAATATAAGGGCCTGTGAAAGCAAATATATAAAATACATTGTCCATAAAGCTGTGCTGACGTATATGAGACGGAAATTTAAAAACCAAAACTTTATATACATAGGCATGACGCCATACATATAGTGGTCCTAGTCACATTTATTACAAAAATACAAAAGGGAACTAAACCCATATACAGATAAACAAAAGCTTGTTCATGTATCAAAAGAAAACCAAGTCTTAAACGTTCACAAAACATGACCCCGAGGCTTGACTTAATCAACAACCTCCTCGAGAGGGACAATGGTTGGCCAACAAAACAGAGACTCCAGGTTATCAACTTTGAGTCTGGTCACGCGCCTGGTCTCCTACATACATAATATAAATAGTGAGCAAAACCTAGTGAATAATAACAAAGTAAAGGTTTCCATGAATTATGTCTAGTCTTGTATCATATCAATTAGAGAGATAAGCATAGTCATATAAAAAACAGAGCAATATTCTTATTCGTATTCAAATCATATGTGGTGCATCCATTAGCATTAACATATCATGTCTGGTCAAGCATATCAAGTTCCATGATAGAACCTCTGTTACCGGATAACATATATCATACATGAGCTACGGTATTATTCCCCTGGGCGAGGGCCTCATAACCATAATGTAACAACCCTCATACTGTTTACTGATTTAGGACTGATTGATTACCGATAATCACCGATTACTGCTAAACGGAACTGATAACTGACTGACTGAAATTGGAAACTGAATTGACTGAGTATATGTTAGTTAATTGCAATACCACATAGACATTTCAAAGAAGTGGTTCATCATTCATGTAATCACTACATAGCCTTTTGTATCATTCAAAAACAATTTGTATCATATCATAATATTCAAAAAGTACTTCATATCAAACATAATTTTACTAAGTTATTACTTATAGATTGTTACATAGATAGCTCGATAACAACAAATGGATCAACAGCTTACGGCGCGTGACCTATACAAACAAACTAGATGCACAAACTAAAACACACGATCATATTATGCTTAACTCATTTCATTTCATTCCTTGTGTGTTTCTAAGTCTTATCCTCATTATTATGTCTTAATTTTGGCCTAGGAATGCCTAGGATGCAATGAAGATGCTAAAATGCACTTGGAAACTCTTAGGCATATATGCCGAAAACAGGGTCCTCGCTTGAGCGCAACCTCCCTCGCTCGAGCGGAGGTTCATGAGTGGTTGCTCGAGCTTAACTTCTTTCACTCGAGCGGTCTGTAAATTTTACAAAAGTACTGGTTGTGTGATTTCTCCGCTCGACGGTCGCTCGAGTGCAACAATTGTCGCTCAAGCGGTCTATAAAACATGTGAACTTGTGGGAGAATGCATTTACGTTCGAGCTAGCTTTTGGTCGCTCAAGCGGAAGTGTAAAAAAATAAACTTGGTTGCTTGAGCGCAGGATCTGTCGCTCGAGCAGTGATGTCGAATTCTGAAATTTCCAAATTCACCTCCAAGCTTCAAAACCCATCTTTAACCTTTTAAAACACATCAGTTGGGCCCAAAACTTAAGAAAACAAGTCTAAACTCGGAAAACATAGAGAATTAAAGATCATTTCATGAAATTAAGGCCCATAAGCATGTCAATTATACAAACTCAAGCTTGAAATGTGAAAACATAACATGAACATGACATGCATGCAATGATTTGCGCTCCAAGTTTCCAAATCATGAGCAAATGAGATGTTTAGGTCAAAAACATGTTGAATTTCTTGAACAAAACCAAGATATGGACATGCATGTGGAAATTCTTGAGAATCAACTTACAAAATTATGAGAATTATATATTCATGCATGAGATGTTCTTCTTTACTACTTCCTTAGTTCAATTCATGCATCTCATGGCCTAATTCTTTGAATGCAAACACTAACCATTACAAGACTAGAGGCTTGAATGCTCACCTTAGATGCTTAATTGAACTCTAATGGGCTAATTGTGTGAGTTTCCAAGTCAAATCCTCCAAATCTTTACAAGACTCAAGCTTGAACTCAACTTCTCCTAGGTCTCTCTCTCCCTCCCACGTTTGGTGAGTACAAAGATGATCAACAAAATGGCTTCTATAGGCTATTTTGGCCTTATAGAGGCCCACGTAGTTTAGTTTAATTAAACTTGGCTTAAGCCAATTACATGGACATTATTTATTCTAATTTAATCATTCCGAATCGAATTTTAATTAAACCTACCATAAAATTCTAAAAATTTCACATAACACATACACCAAGTCAATTTCATGATCGGATGCCGATAATGCCTTTAATTCACAAAATATAACAGAATCTTAAACAGATATTCTTACAATAAACAAATCGAAATACAAATAATGTAACACACATGCAATTAATTTAGAATTTCATCTTAATTACCTATTAGGCATAATTAATCATGGTTTATCAGCTAATCATAGGTTGTGGTTGTTACAAGCGGACTGTCTTATTTTTAAAAATTTGACTAAGTGTTCTAAAGTACGTTTTGGCATCCTTATTGCATCTTAGGCATTCCTAAGCCCTAATTAAGACATAATAATGAGGATAAAGGCTAGAAACACACTAAGAATGAAATGGAATGAGTTACGTACTATCCGAGTGTGTGTTTCAATATGTGTATCTGTTATATGTTTGTGTAGGTCACGCGCCGTGAGCTGTTAGATCCATTTGTTCTGCTATCGAAGCTATCTGTGAGTAACATCTCCGTAAAGCTATGTTTGATTATAGGTATTTTCTGATTGAAATGATATGATTTGTTTATGAAATGCTATTTTGAGATTACATGAATGATAGCCCAATTCTTTGAAATGTATTTGTGGTATCCTTAGCAAAGGCCCTCGCCTAAAAGAGATAATAATGTGGCTTATGGTCATAAAGCCCTCGCTTAGGGGAAACAATACCGTGGCATAAGGCCCTTGTCCGGAGAAAACAATACCGTGGCATGAGGCTTTCGCCCGAGGAAAACAATACAGTGGCCTACGTATGTTATATGATACCCAGCACCGGAGGTTCCATTATGAAACTTGATATGGATGACCAATGTGATTTGTTAACGCTAATGAATGTACCATGCATGATTTGAATATGAATATGACTTTGTGTCTGAATCTGTTATGGGCATCATTCATTAAAATCTTTACTTTGTTATTATTTACTAGGCTCCAACTCACTGTATTATTTATGTATGTAGGTGAGTAGGCGCGTGATCAGGCCTAAGTTGTTGCTTTGAGTATTGTTTTGGTCAGCTAGCCTCTGTGCCTCCCGAGGAGGTTCCCGTTTTGACGTGGTCAAGTGTTTATGATCAATATTCGAGACTTTTATATTTCTTATATTTTCACTAAATGTTCTGTATTGTAGATATGATGTAAGACCAATGTGTTAGTAATGTCATAGATACGTATATAAGTTTTAAATTTTCTGTCCTATATATGTCTACACAGTTCTATGGACTTTTATATTTGTATTTGCTTCTGCTAGCCCCTGTATCTTGTTTAAATTGTTCAGAGGCCTTTGGTAATCCCAAGATTACTGGCCGGTTACGGCACTAAACCTATAGGGATGAGTTTGGGTTGTGATAGAGAAAGTGTTGATGGTTCAGAATATGTTTTCTGAAGGAGAAAGTGTCGATGGTTCACTGGAATGATTTTAGTTCCTCGTATGTACCTTTTTGATATAATCTGTAGCTTTCTTATCAACACTTGTCTTAGGAAAGAGATGGGCTTTGAACTACTCTTTGCATTAGCGGTGGAGTATTGGCAACAGAGCCTGAGAAAGCAATATTTTTGGTAGCTAGTGGAGAATCAGCTGTTCCAAGACTCATTTTGGCAACTTCTCACATGATGAAAGCTTGACAATGTTAACTACCATCTCCATTGACGTCTCATAGAGAGACTTGTCACTTCTACCCCTGTTGTTCATGTCCAATCCTAACTATAGGCTATAGGCTTCACTAGAACAAAGGCTCTCTCTTAAACAGAGGTGAGGTCGTCCGCCCAGACCTCTGGCCAATCAACCCCTGGACATCTGGGCCCTTGTCTGGGCTGCTGTGTTAGCGCATTCAACGAAATAAAATAAGAATTTATCAGATATGAGAGAATTACAATGACTCCTTACAAATAGGGAGTCACTGAGCAGTCATAAATTTAAGAGATTATATAAAAGATCTGATGGAGTTGAATTTTTGAAGAATCAATCCCTTATAATAGCAAAAAGCTATTTTAAGGCATCTGTTGAGTGATTCTACTTCAATTAATTACTTCTTCTTCTTCTTTTCTTTTCTTTTCTTTTCTTTTCTTTTTTTTTTTAACGCTACAAGCCTCAAGAGTTTTATCAAATACCCACATGTACGAATGTAAGAAAAACCAAAAAAATTGATCAAACTGATTGAACTGAACCAAACCGGCTATATTTGGTGTGCTTTTTAACAAGAATCGGTTTGTGCAATTTTTAAATTTGATTTTTTTCGATTTTCGGTTTGGTATAACTTCAAGCACTTTGTGTATCGAACTAAACCGAAAACGACCGCTTCAATATATATTGTATGTATAATATATATATATATATATATATTTATATATATAATCTAATAATATAATGATATTAACAGGTATAATAAATTATTAATTTTAATTAATTAACCTTATCATTTTTATAATCGAAAACTCTTATTATATATAATTTTAACTCTAGCTTATTCTTGAAATCTTAATATTTTTTATTTTTTATTTTTTTGTTTTTATTTTTGTTAATCTAGGAATTGAAAAATATTTATTAAGTAGATAGATTGGATATGTTTGAAATGATGGACAAATAACTAATTTAATATTTTTATATAGATTAGTGATTATATTTAAAAGTGACTCAAGTTTAAAAGGTTCTAGACCGATTAAACCACACCGAACTAAACTGTTTCAATCGGTTCAGTTCAGTGTGATTTAATGGGAAAAGTAGTTTGTATCGATGTTCAAAATAATGAAACCGATATTATCGGTTCGATGAATTTTTTTTACCTAAATACTGACTGTACCGAACTGATTATATCCCTAGTCACATGGGTATAGGTTGTATACTCATATGAGTCCCACACTCACGTAAGTATTTGGTAAAAATTTGATAAAACTAATACAAATATTCTTTTTAAAAAGGCTAAAATAAACTTTCTAAAAAATGTTTATTTAGCATATTGTTCTTAAAGATTAAGAGTTTGCTTGACAACTTAAAAAGAAATTTAAATTTAAGTATAAATCATTCAAATATACCAAATTAAGTTTTACCCAAATCAATTATTAACCAAAAATTTTAAAGACTATTTTGTGACTCTCAAATCTACCCCTATGCCATTATTGAAATTCTTTTAGTCAACTCAAAATTAAATTTATTCATTGAAGTTGTTGACATCGAAGTTTTTACTTAAATTTGAGTAAAGGTTGCTTCCACTCAATTTTTTAAAATTTGGTCTAGTAAATTTTTTTTTGAAGGGTTTGGTGATATATTGGCATATATTTATTTGACATAAAAATTCTCTACTTAATATGTCAAATTTATTATTGTATTATTTTTTAAAATGAAATTATTTTATTGAGTGAACTCAACATTTGATATTAACATGGAACATATCAAATTTGATATGTTAAGTTCATATCAAATGCCAACTCAGTATTTGATATATTCGATGAACATCATTCTTTATGTCAAAATTGAGATATTATTGTGCCATACAGGATTTGACATTTTTAGTTGGAGTTGCTTCTCTTTTTCATGTGCATCGGGGACTTAGGAATGCCACATCAAAGTTGGATTAAAAAACAAAAGTGAGTTGCATACAGAGAGAGAGAGCTTTTCTCTGGGAGATTTTTGATAGTATTCCGGTGATATTTTGACGGCTTTTTTTATATTTTTAAAGTGTAGATCTACGTTTTTTGATTATTGATCTATAGTTTTAGAGTGTAGATTTATAGTTTTTATGTTTAAAATAAGGGGTTTTAGAGTTTTTTTTTCCTCCGATTTTGACATAGGTTTTTAAATTTTTGACACCCATGATGGTTCTCTCTTTTCTCAAGCCTTCTCTCATACCATTGTAGGTGTACTTTCTCCTCAACTCCAACTTCTGGAGGTGTCTGAAGGACGGCGATTGCGGTGGCGGAGTGGGACAGCAGCGACAGAAACTACATCAATGGGGACGACGAGCTTTTAACAAGATTTTACTTTTTAGATACCATTTTTAAGAAAATCAGTGACTTTTTTTGAATCGTAACTGATTTTTTTGACGAATTTGTTATTTTTTAGTTGTTTATTTCTTCAGTTTTGTTGTATGATTTGTATGGCACTTTAAGATCTTATTTTTGTGTATTGTTATTTTTAATATAAATATTTTTCATGCTCTAAAAAAATAAAATAAAATTGTTAAAGCAACTACTCACTAAACATCATGCAAAGAAGCGACATTTTAAAAATATATATATAATCGAAGAAAAGTCCGATGAAAAGTCAAAAAGAAAGTCTGATAACACATGAGGATGTGAGTGTAATTTAATAATTAATTTGAAAACCAAAATGCACATTTTGTAATGGAGATTAAACAAGTGTATTATGTGATTTACCTATCAAATGAATCTGAATTATATATTAAAAAAATTAGATAAATTCTAAATATAATTTCTAAGTTTGTAAATCATTACTAATTTTAACATGAGATGTCTTAAATGAGCATAACCTCATAAATTGGAGAAAAAATAAAATAAAAGAATTGTATCATGTTATTTTGGTGACATTATATAATAAATTAATCATTACCTTCAATGTATATGTATTTAGGCCCACTATATAAGTTTCAATTAGTGAGATAAGTTGAATATGTGATTACAATTACATGGTGGAATGGATTGTAATACCACTATCACCATTACATTGAAATCTGACCATTTATTAAATATCATTATAGAAGCAAACTTATCAATTACTGAATGCAAAATACAAAAAATCTAATGCATAAAAAATATACTTGGTGCTTTTCACCTTTTATTTATAAAAAAAGAAAAAAGAAAAAGAACGGTTTCTCTGTGAAACATATCTTGGCTAATATAACGAACAATCACATAATGAAGCAGCCATGAGGATTCTCATCACTGAAAGTTGCACCAGGCTGGTGTCCAAAAATGGTGGAATGAGCAGCAGGAGCTTGATGATAGTAACCACCGTAATCATATCCATGTTTGTAGTAGTTGTAAGAAGAAGATGGTTGGGGAGCATGGTGGGTGACCAGACCGCCGTAATGGTGTTGATGATAGTAGTGGTTGTTGGTGTTGTAGTTATGATAGAGGTAATCTTCTGGGTTGTGTGGGAGTTGCCATAGTTCGGCTCTCCTTCCAGTTTTTCGGACTGTCTTTAGAACTTTCTTCTGGTCAGCCCATCCGGTCACGGTCACCTTTTGCATTCCCATGTCAATATCTATATCGTCCACTCCTAGAATGCAAAATGATATATGTCACAGGATGATTTTTTTTTTTTTTTTTTGGCCTTTTTTTTCTTTTTTTGGCCTTTTATGTCGATTTGTTATGTGAGTTAATCTAACAGTTAAAGAAGACTTAAAAATATTTAGGGGAAAGGAAGTGGATTTATTTAGGCATGTGACATGTAGTGAGTTGAGCGGAAGAAAGTAGCTTACCTTTTAGCTTTTGAAGAGCTTTCCTAATCTTGTTCTCACATCCAGGGCAGTCCATGTGAACTTGCATCTCTATGGTCTAAACCAATAAAAAGTAGTAGTAGTTGATTCAACGAGTGATCTTATCACAAATAGCAGTAGTCACAATATATCATTATTATCATTGTTAATTTGTTATTGTCATTTGATTAAAAAAAAAAAAAAAATTACAAAGAAAAAAAAATCCACATAAAATGAAATAAAGAATGCAAAATAGTCCTTTCTTAGGCCAAGTTTGGGTACTTTCAAAAAAGCCAAAAAGCCAAAAAGTCACTCAAAAAGTTAAAAAGTTAACACTATTTACCAAAAGTCAACAATTACGGCTGCACAACTCCCAATTCAAATTTTTCCCTACAAATCAATTTTTACAATTTTTTATTACACATTTTTCAATAAAAAGTCAAAAAGTTAACCCAAACATCCATATTTTCAACCTCAACTTTTTAGTTCAAAAAGACAAAAAGTGCACTTTTTTAGTCTTCCCAAACTTGACCTTACTAGATATCATTAAATGATCCGCGACAAAAAACTTGGTATTACCTAATTCGATCAACCCATTCCAGGGCTTATCCTAAATTACCTGACTACCTAGCTCGTCCCATAAAAGTTTGAAATCCAAATCCACCCATGTACCGGCCTGTACAAACTCATATGGGTAAATCCAGTCTGACTGATAATTGCTTGACTACCTAGCTCGTCTTACAAAAGTTTGAAACCCAAATCCACCCATATACCGGCCAGTACAAACCCATATGGGTAAATCCAGTCTAACTTAAACTAGCACGTCCCCAAAAAAATTAATATTATCTAAAAAATAACATTGTTAAATTCAATTTTAATTCATTAAAATTAATACTGTTTCATTTAAAAAATAAAAAAAAATACTTAACAACTCATATTATTCTTGTAAATTGTACTTTAAAAAAAATACGCAACACAATTTATTAAAATTGAATTTGACAATGACCAATGATATCTTTATAACTCTCAACTTACATATAACATTATCATAATTTGTTAATTTGGTGAATTTATACTATAATTTGATTGGTTTAATAATATTAATTAATTTGATCATATGAATTATTAAAAAAGAAAAAATAATTGTGTATAACTTAATAATATAAGTCTAATAAAAAATATATAATCCAGTCCAGTTTTATTTTGGCCTGTAAAATTTGGGCTACCAAATGGGGCGTGATTTTAAATTTTAAATAAGTCCGGCTGGCACCAACCCGTTGACTAATCAAAGTCCAAAAAACTCAATAATATATGGGAACGAAGGCATAATAATTGAAATTATACTAGGGATCATGAAAAAAATATCATGAAATGTATCATGAAAATTTTTTATCCTTTGATTAGTGTGTGATGTTTTATTGTACGTGTAATCCAAATGTAAAGAATTTTTTATAATCATCTTCATGCTATTTTTTCTATAATTCCTAGCATTAAACTAATTTTTATGAACAATAAGAGAATTGAGTTTGAGACAATTGCTCCAAAAATTTAAAATTTAAAATTTAAAATGTTGGCCTGAGTGCCCAAAATTAAGCACAGAAGATAGTTGAATTTTTTAGTAGTTAGATGTGAAATTTGTGATAGAAAATGTGAAATGATTATGGATTTGATGTAACATTTTATCTTATTAACTATTTTAGTCTATTTTATCTTTTAGTGCCATTTTAGCCCCAAAAAAACTAAAAAAAACTCTTCCTAAACACCCCCATTAATGAATCAAACAACGATAAAATGATTATTTCAGAACATAGAGTAGCAGTTCTATCAAACGATAATCAAGAGAATCAGAGAAAGACAAAGAAAGATATATACAGAGAGAGAGAGAGAGAGAGATTTACCGTCATCTTCTTTATTGGCTATATGGGAATTTTATGTGTTGATATAAATATGGAAATCAGGTGTTGATATGTAGTAGCTCTGAATTCCCAACCTTTTGGCAAATAAATGATGAATGAATGAGAGAACTTCAAGGGTTTGTATGTATGACCCCTTTCCCTCTCCCATTCTATATGTATATGTAATAGTATGTGTTAGAAGATTATAAAAAAATGGTTTGTGCACCGACTATTTCCATGTCTTTGGCTTGAAGCAGAGTGAGGTCCCTTTTTGGAGAAAAAAGAAAAAGGAATTTACAATTTTTGGAAAGATCGATACTATATCTCTTAATATATCATTCTTATTTTGATTTCTAATGAGGTGGAAGAGAGAGAATAGAGGAAGATAGAAAGCGAAAGGATGAGGAGTAAAGAGTGGGATCAATTTCAGAGTGAATTAACATTGTGTTTGATTGGAAGAATTGAGAAATAATTTGGAAAGGAAAAAGGAAAAGACAGGTGAAATATGAATAAAATATTCTTACATTTCATTTAATTTCATACACTTTTTCTCTTTTCTTTTCTAAATCTATTCTCAAATCTCTTACGCTATGTTTGGTTGGAGAATTTGAGGAGGAATTTGAAAAGGGAAAGGGAAGTGATACTAATATATCATTCTTATTTTGATTTCTAATGAGATGGAAGAGAGAGAATAAAGAGAGATAGAAAGAGAAAGGATGAGGAGTAAAGAGTGGGATCAATTTCATAGTGAATTAACATTGTGTTTGATTGGAAGATTTGAGAAGTAATTTGAAAAGGAAAAAGAAAAGATAGGTGAAAAATGAATAAAATATACTTACATCTCATTTAATTTCACACATTTTTTCTCTTTTCCTAAACATTTTTCTCTTGCACAAGCGGGGCATCCTATATCTACCCATGGAACTAAAGGTAATTTTGAGCAATACATAATTTTTTAGCCATGGGAATAAGATGTTGGGAATCCTCTCTCTCCATTAATGTTTTTACGAAGTCAGCCATGGGAAGAAGATCTTACTGTCAACCCATATCATGGATCGATTTTGCAGCACTGTTATGAAGAGATTGTGGTAGACAAGCAAAGTAATTTTGAGCAATACATATAGTTGAATTAAGTTGGTTTGTAGGCAGGTTGACAAATTTCAATCTTTATGTCAATTGATTCATTGATTTTTATCATCTAACTTGCCCAACTCAACTATTTACCTTCTTCCTTTCCGAAGTACCTAAAAAAAAAAACTATTTACCTTCTCAAACTGTGCAGATTGATTTGGGTCAATTTGAGTGGTGGGAATTGATGAGTTGACTATTTTTATTTTATTTTATTTTATTTTTACTCACCACTATTATTGATTATATTTTGTTGACATACACGTACTATGCGTGTAGATACAGAAATATATGTTATAGGTACATATTTATATGGTAAATTTTATTGTACACACTTTCTTTCATATCTTTTGTTATGATTTATTAAGATTTTAGTTAACACTTGATTATATATATTGTGATATTAGTTATGACTCATTGTGATATTAGTTATGGCAGCAGTTTGATTATGATTCAAAAACTCTTTTATTATACTTGTGCAGGGTTTAGTTATAACTTTTTATTTATTTATTATATATATATATGACTTTCATAAAATTGAGTTATAACATTTGTAATGATCAATCTTATAAATATCATAATTTATATATGATACACACCCATAGCATTACTCAACATATAAATCTCATATATTATTTCCATTATTATAACTACTAATAAAAAAAATTATGAAATTTATATTACATTAATAATCCACACTTGTACCACTACTAAGAAACTTGAATATAAAGGGAGCATTGGCCATTAGGCAATCATGGAAGGAACAAGTTGACTTCGGAGTTTGGACATATAAAATCGAAAATGATCCGTAGCTCGAATGCGTAGAGTTCGAATGGTCTGAATGATACAGAAAATATTATCTTACCGGTAAGAGAATAAAAAAAAAACCCTAAAACGACGGTGTTTTGGGATTTCGAACCATTCGAGCCTTTGATATTTCAAGCTACGTAGCGGAATTGATATAAAACTAACGAAAATGATCCGTAGCTCGAATGCATAGAGCTCGAATGACTCGAATGGTACGAAAAATATTATCTTACCGGTAAGAGAATAAAAAAAAATTCTAAAATGACGTCGTTTTGAAATTTCGAGCTATTCAAACCTTTGCTATTTTGAGTTACGTAACGGAATTGTAAAACTAATTAGGTTGGGAATAATTAGAGGAATATAGATGGGGTAGCGTTGGAGAGGGAGGAGGAGGAAAACCAAGATTACCTCTGGGTTGAGCAGGAAATTCACGTGCTAGCGAGCGATCCCATCGGATCATGCCACAAAATAAATAAATAAATAAATAACTTAAAATGATATTAGTGTTATAAAATTAAAATAATAAAAGAAAAAGTGAATGTCAATAAAAAATAAAAGAGAATTTGAGTTAAAAGAGAAAAATACTCATTTTTTCATTTTAATACATAAATACATATAGTAAACATTTGTTTTTATAGACAAAGTTTGTAGAGAAAAAATTCAAGGCAAGTTCAATTTCATTCTTAGGGTTCATTTGGGAAGCGAGTTGGTTTTTTGATTTTTTAATTTTTTTGACTATTTTAGCCCGAGACTAAAAAACCTCATTTAGGAAAGACTTTTGACTTTTTTGATTTTTTTTACGAAAGAAAGAATGTAATGATTATGAATTTGATGTGATGTTTGTTTTTTCTGGCTAAAAAATTTATTTTATTTTTTGTGATTATTTTAACAAAAAAAATCCAACCTTTGACCTCTCAAACGAAGCATTAATAAGTTTCTATTTTTCCCCAATCTTCTACCAAATTCTATTTGTCTCCATATGAAATGTATAACTTTATCTCTTTTTTATAAAAGTAAATATAATAATTATATGATCTTATTTATCATGAAATAATTCTTTCCAATTCCAATTACATGTGTTTTGATGGTTATTTAAATATTTCACAATATACAATGAAATAAAAGTACCTTACAAATTTGGTGGCATTTGAACTTTCCAAGCCACACCTAAAAACTATGGAAAAGCCTGTCGGGCTAGAACATTCACCAGAATTTTATCAAGATTATAAATTTATGGCACACATTTGAAATTCATGTTGTGAGTTCATTTAATATTTTTCCTTTTTTTTCTAAATATATAATATTGCTAAAGAAACTATTCGTAATGCTTGAAACTAATCCCATAGAAGGGAAATCTTGAACTGTACCTACTCCTAAAGATAAGGAAAAAAGGATAAAAGGGGAATGGTTGTGGTTACAAAAGTCAAGATTGGAATGGGCACTAAAAGGGGACAAGAACACAAGGTTCTTTCATATAATGGCATCAATTAGGCATAGCAGGAATATGCTAAACTCACTGAAGGTTGAGGATGTTGTTGTTGAAGAACCAGCAGATATTAAACAAGTAGTGTACAGTCATTTTAAGAATCAGTTTGATGAGAGGTGGAGATGCAGGCCCTTATTTGGAGGTTACTTTAATCAAGTGGATCACAGTCAAGTCATTGAAATTCTAGAAAAAGAATTCACTGAGATAGAGGTATGGGCAGCAATAAAGGAGTGTGATGGGAATAAAGCTCCTGAACCGGATGGGTTTAACATGTTATGCTTTCAGAAAGGGTGGCAGGTGATGAAAGATGATATATTGAAGTTTATGAAAGAATTTCATGATAACAGCAGGCTGGGGTATGGGGTGAATTGCTCTTTTATAACTCTTATCCCAGAGATTGATAATCCCTCATCCATCGGGGACTATAGACCATTTAGCTTGATCAACTTTGTTTACAAAATTTTGTCCAAAGTTTTAGCAAGTAGATTTATACAAATGCTGCCAGCAGTGATTGATAAAGCCCAGTCAGCTTTCTTGAGTGGAAGGAACATCATGGATGGGGTTCTTATTGCTAATGAAGTGATGGATTGGTGGAAGAAATCTAGAAAGAATGGTTTAATCCTTAAATTGGATCTTGAAAAAGTATATGACTCGATAAATTGGAATTTTCTCCTTCAGATGCTAGTAAACTTTGGTTTTGGAGCAAAATGGGTGGGTTGGATCAAGGAATGCATTGCGTCACCTAGAGTTTCTGTACTTGTGAATGGGTCTCCATCTGATGAGTTTTGTTCGAAGAGAGGAATAGGGCAAGGTGATCCACTCTCACCCCTCTTGTTTAATGTTGCAGCTGAAGGGCTTAATATCATGTTGAAAAGAGCAAAAGATATGGGAGTTATTAAAGGAGTGGATGTGGGTCATAGGGATTTTAATGTATCTCACATCTAATATGCAGATGATACCATAATTCTGCGTGATGCGGAGTGGTCTGAAGTTATTGCTATTAAAAGAATTTTAAGGTGCTTTGAAGTTGTGTCTGGGCTAAAAATAAATTTTCACAAAAGTTTGGTATGCGGGGTGGGTGTGGAGGAGGATTTGGTGGAGGATTTTGCATCTAAACTTAACTGCATAAGTCATAAGTTGCCTTTCAAATATCTTGGGTTACCACTTGGTGCCAATCCAAGCAGGAAACTATCTTGGAAACTAGTCATTGACAACTTTAAAAAAAAGATTTCAGGATAGAAAAGAAGGTTACTGTCATTCACATGTAGAGTAGTCCTCATTAAATCTGTTCAGTCCTCATTACCCATTTATTATATGTCCTTATTTAAGATTCCTGAAAGTGTGGCTAAGAAACTTGATAGGCTGTAAGCAAATTTCCTACAGGGAGGTACAAAAATTAGAAAGAAAATACAATTAGTCAATTGGAATGAGATTATAATGAATAAACAAAAAGGGGGTCTTGGGATTAGGGACATTAGACTTACAAATCAATGCATGTTACTCAAATGTTAGTGGAGGCATGCCGTGGAAGATAATGCACTTTGGAAATCAATTGTGTAGTAAGTATGGATCCACAGGTGGGAAGTGGCTGCCACCAGCTACTGCAGTAGGAGTCATTTCACAGATCTGGAGCACTACAAGAAAAAGCATTTTTGCCGATCATTTTTAGCTACCAAAACTAATTTAGTCCCCAAAAGTCACGGAATTGGCTACCAAAAATAATATTAGTCGGCAAAAGTCAAATTTTTAGCTACTAATTTTTTTTAGTAGGGGAATGTTGATTATTGGCTACTAAAAAAAATTTAGTAGC